CCTACTACAATGATTACAAAACAATATCAACACAAAAAGACACTAGTGTAATTATACCACTGGTGTTAATAATGAAATAGGGATGTATATACGTTGATAAATAGGCCTAGAGTAGTTTGAATTGATATGGTTAAATCTCTGCTATTATCAATGGTTGTGAATATTTTAAGATGATTGAGGTTCTGGTTGATATATTATAATGTCTATCCTGTACTGAGCAGTGGTAGTCTAAAACATGCCGGTTTTCGTATGATTTTCTTTATTGCAACAGTTTTCGTCTGTTGGCGGCGCTGGTGCATGGCCAGCAATCATTTGATTTATCGCCATACATTTATACCCTGCTCCCTCTGAATAACTTCGATGAAGCGCCACGAAGAAGGATTATTTGCACCAAAATGTTGGTGCCAAAACTGCGATGCCACCCCTCTATCGAGTTGTTGGTGCGTGGCAAATCGCTTTCTCGCGTTGAAACATATTCCATAAGCCTATTGGGAATCTGGCCACACGTCGGTTTGTAGAGAAGTACTTCTTCTATTTATACATATGTTTATTTTCATAAATAAATTTTTCAATTTAGAGCCTTCGAGTCCTAAGGGAGTGATTGACCGCTAAAAAAGTTTTTATTATAAGCATTATGGACCTCAGTGAACTGCATTTTTGGTTTTTTTTTTCTAGATCTTTCATTTGCCAATACAATAGGATTGGTGGGGTTTAAATTTTTAGTTTGTCCACCCTATAAATTGTGTGACTTACAATCTAGATAGGCCCATATTAATATAATAATATTAAAATCTCTTATGTTTTGTGAAGTGTATAATTATTATTGTCATGGTATTTACGTTTACACAAATTGAAAACCAAATTTAATACAATATAATTTAACAAAAGTACGTTGAGTATTGACGACTTAAAATAAATACTATTTAGGGATTGTTATCACCATCATACATTAATGGTAGGCATTTTTCAAGAAAACTGTCTGTGCTTAAACAGGACAACGTCAAGTTTTATTTTCTTTCTATATGGTCAAGTCTGAACACACCCTGCTCCTTCCAATGCTGATGACATACACCATTATTGTTTATTTATAATTTCTGTTGATAGAGTATCATACCTTTAGCTACAGGGAGAGAGATACTTTACATTAGAATTACATTCAATTGTTGTTAATAAATTAATTGAAATTGGAGTGAGATCAACCATCGATCATCTGCAGCTTCTTAACCAATAGAGTTATTACTACCAAATTTTGTAAGACCTTCTCAAGAAATAGTCAAATAACATGTGGCGTCCCACAGGGCACCAAATTGGGCCCAATTTTATTTCTGGTCCTAATTAATGATGCTAGTCTAGGAAGCTGCAGGAGGTGGAAATATGTGAATGATCTCACTCTAGGTGAAGTTGTCCAAAAACATAATGATTCCCAATTCCAGGAGTCACTTAATAAGTTAGATGATTGGTGCAAAACTAATAACATGTTACCTAAACCCTAAAAATGCCATGTTATGAGAATAAATTTTTTGCATAACGTTCATAATCTTGAACAGTTCACACTCAATGATACCGTTCTTGTATATGTTAGCAACATGAAGTTGATAGGGGTTGTAATTCAGAAAAACATGAAGTGGGATGTGCATATCACAGAAATGGTCTCTAAAGCATCTCGTAGGATGTTTGCTCTCTTTGTGATGAAGGGTTCTGGGGCATCAGTGGTTGACCTGATTAAGGTTTTCATTTGTTATATAAGACCTGTACTGGAGTACGCTTGCCCAGTGTGGCATAGTGGAATTACTAAAAAAATTAGCAAACAAAATTGAACTTGTCCAAAAGAGGGCACTACACATTATCCTTGGAAATAATTATATATCTTACAATTTAGCTTTAGAGAAAACACGATTACTCTCGCTTGCGTCAAGGAGGGAAAGTCTTGTCCTGAGTCCTCTCTTTTGGTCAAGGACTTTTGAAATCGCCATTGCATCGTGACATATGCTCCCTCCTTGCCGTAAGCGAATATTAACCTTAAGAACCAATGGTGGAATTCTTGTCGTACCTAAATGCAAGACGTCTGCCATACCATCGGTGGTCAAATTAATCAATGCACAATAATCATACCAGATGCAGGTTCTAAGTGTTTTATTATTTTTATTATTGTCATTACTTCCTTATTTAAAGGACATATCAGTCGAGGCACATTTTAAGATAAAAGTACAAGGCTTATATGTAAAAGCTTAAAGTAATTATACGTGAGTGATAGATGAAGTAAAAGAGCTTCACAGTATCTTTGAATCAAGAAATGAAGTAAAGAATTGACCGTGATTACTGTTAATAGTTGATAAATCAGAATATCTACCTATTGGCATACATAGGGTAGTAGTACTAATAGTGCATGTATTTTGATATGTTATGGGAATACTTACCTTCAATATGTATATAACTATATGCTATGTATAATATGTTAAAGCGTATTTTGATAGAAAAGGAATACCATTAGCATACCATT